GGAATTTAGAGTGCACAAAGAAGGTACCACCCTTCTCCTATTCTCCTAGAAACAGAGTTTTCATTTGGGCCACCAGATAATCTCTTTAAATGAAATATACAAGTTGTCCCACTTTGCATGATACTTAAGGATGGTAAAAATGACTGTGCAAACTGAAGTCAGACAAATCAATCTTTTTTTAAAATTTTATTTTTATCCTTGTCCACGGATAAAAAGTTGCTTTTTTTAGAGAGAAAAGAGGGATGAGAAGAAGGGAGGGAGAGAAACATCGATGCAAGAGAGGCATCATGCCCAGGCCAGGGATCCACATGGGAAATGGGGGTCATACCCATCCAGACCAGGGATGAACCTACAACCCAGGCATGTGCTCTGATAGGGAATTGAACCCACAGCCTTTCAGTTACGGGACAAGACGCCAATGACTGAGCCCCACCGGCCAGGGCTGACAAATAAATCTTAATCATCAATATTAAATAATTATGATCATTCTGTGATCTTTGAAATTTCTGTCCAAAATGAAAAAATATCAAAACTAATACTAATTAAGTATACTGAAATTTAAAGAATTAGGAACATTCAGAATTAAAGTGTTTTATTTCTTTTTCCTTGTCAAAATAGTTTGAACAGTGCTTGCCTTCCTCTTATTATTGTATAACTCATGATGTGGGAGAGCATCTTGTCTACGCCTTGGTGACCTGTCTTAGCTTCCAGTATTCTATTCTTTGTGGTTTAAATGTTGTGCAACACCCCAAAAGTTCCTTTAATGTGAATTTTGTTGTTTTTACCACCATCACTTCCTTTGGGACATCTTTATCTGGCTTGTCATAACCACTTTCTTCATTTATGTCAATAAGTTCACCTTCCCTAAGTTCCCATGATGCTTAATTTTATGTATCAGCTTGGTTGGGCCATGGGGCCTAGAGTTTTGGTCAAACCTTGAATAGTAACATCAGCTCTTCCCTGGGCAGTCAGCCTGCTTGACGACCTGGCAGATTTTGAACTTGACAACATCCATAAACATGTGAGCCAGTTCCTTAAAACAACTCTCTCCCTCTGTGTGTGTGTGTGTGTGCATCTGTCTCTGTCTCTGTCTCTGTCTATGACTCTCTCTTTCTCCCTCTCCCTCTCCCTCCCACTCTCTCTCTATACATACACACAAACACACACCCTGTTGGTTCTATTTCTCTGGAGAACCCCGACAAATACAGTTCCTCTGACTGAAGATTTAATTGCCTCAAAAGATGACAATGCTGATATTTCTGTGGTCAGCTATTTCTTCTATAATTCCATTATATTTGATTAGAATTTCATTTCCATTGTTAGCACTTTTTTCCTTGCTGCACTTTCATCTTTGTTGCCCAATTACTTGTTTCAGTTATTCACTTTTCTAAAAATATCACATGGGTTTATTCACTGGTAAACAAGGAAGCAAGATAGCTACACACCACTCTCTGTGTGTGAACTGAATAACGGATGTGCAGTGACCAATCACTGACAGGCTTTGAAAACAGTAACATGATTGGTCCGTGACCATTAAATGCTCCTGTTACTTCTGTAGTGATCTGTGGACTGAAGAGCTAGCACAACGTTTGTGCTTGATGCAATTACCCACGGTTACATAACGTGGTCATGGAAATGTGAACTGTGGTGCTGGGGAACTAGTGGTATTTAACTAAACCATGGTAACACTCAACTTTGTAAATATTGAAACCATGCAGTGCAAGGACTGCCTGTACTTCATTTTCAACCAATTGTCTAGATCCATAATTCAGAAGTCCCTACCATGAAGGACCTTAAAGGAAAAAAAAATAACTTTCTCAACTGAATCAGCAGCATCTGTGTAAAACTTCTATCATTTCATTAACTGGTGTTCTTGAAATTCCTGGTACTTATTTTCTTGTCTCTTTTCTGTGAAGTACTGGCTGCCTAGAGAATCACATTTAACATGTCCAAATATATAAAATGGATTATGGCAGAGACAGCCAGTCCACTGAAAATCCATTTTCCCTCTCTTCCTTTAATCATGGTACTCCAGTTTTCAGTGGGGGCATATAGCTGTCTCACTAAAGACATGTCCACCCTCTCTTGAAACATATGACCAAATTATGGCCAGTGGAATGTGAACAACACCATTGCATGCCACTTTTGAGTTTGTTCTTAAAAGGAATGGACATGCCCTTCCCTGGCCTTTTCTCTGCTGGCTGGGATACAGATGTGAGAGCAGGCTGTAGAGCGGCCACTTTGAACCCAGAAATGGAATCTGTGTGTTGAGTGCAGATGTAAGAGCTCTACTCTTGGGACTACTTACTGTCTCTGCACATTTATATCAGAGAAAATACTCTTCAATCTTGTTTTATCCACTATGTTCTGGGGTCTTTTTGCTATAGACACTTAACTGCAACCTCAAAAATATATGGATGTTTTGCTGTTTGGGAAATAACAATAGCCTAACATAGTAACATAGAGGATTTATACACGTCATACTAAATAGTTAATGGATTCTCCTCCCCTCCAGCTTTCATTTAAAGAGAACAGAAGGCTGAAAGTCTAATTCCCTTCTGAGGTAGTAAATTGAGCAGCACCTATCAAAGACAATTAACACTGTAAGGCAGCCATCACAGGTAAGATGACTAAAGTCTGCCACCTGCACAGGATGGATTTGGTGCTTCTCACTTAGCAGTTATTGTATACTACGGATACGAGCCTGCATCCCTAATAACTGGACTTGTTGGGATGGAGTCTTCCAATATTTAAATTGAATCTGCAGAGGCTGCTGAGGTGTGAAGAATGACAGTTAGCTGGCTATGTTCATATAATGCTTTTGTGACAAAAATAAATTTAAGTTAGTATTAATCAGTTAAGCCATTGATATGGAAATTATCTTGATACAGCCCTTACGATTTGTACAGCATGAAATCTGGCTTGTTTGTGAGGAACAGGTGAAAGATCTGATTTGGAACAGAAGGGAGTGCAGGAGGTGTAAGAGGGTGTAAGGGGGATAATTGGTGATAGAAAAAATACAATACAAATAAACTATTAAAAAATAAATATAAGATCTAGTTCAACACCAACAAATAAATGTGTGGCACTCATGTGTATACACTAGAGGGCACTCACCTTCCACCATTTTCTATTTGAGCACGTTTACAATAATAGTTTTCAAACTCCTGTGTAGAAGACTCACCTTGGGATTTCGTCTAAAACGTGTACCCTTGGGCTGTGGAGGGGCCCGTGAATCTGCATTTTTAATGAGAGGCTGTACTCGAGCTTGGTTAAGAGGATGACTCCTGGAACCTGACTGCCAGAGTCTGAAAGCTGGCTTTGGGACTTGTGACCTTGGGCAACTATTGAACCTTTCTGTGCCTCGGTTTCCTCATCCAAGAGATTAAGTTAGAAATAGTACCTATCACTTAGGATTATTGTAATGATTAAATGAGTTAACTTCGAATACAGTAGTGCCTGGCAATGAATATTCACTCTATTTTTACAAGCATTATTTTTTTCTTCGTATGCCAGAAATATTTTTTTGAATTTCAATTGTTGTTCAAGTACAGTTTTCTGCCTTTTACTCTGATCCCAGCCCTCCCCACAAACATTATTTTTAATAGAGGCATTCATTGATCTTGTTGCAGGGAGACTTGAGAAACACAGAGTATTTTTAAAAGTAAAAAAGAAGGTACTCTCACAGTCTTCTCTACCCAGCCAGGCTAAGATTTTGGGTCCTGACCCTCAGCTGGAGTGGTAATGGAATGGCAGGAATCAAAGGTGCAGAGTGAATAGAGCATGATGAGGCTGCTCTTTTGTATGTTGTGCCATAAACCTTGAACTGTATTCAGGAGTGAATGGAACACCATGGAAGGCACTGAGGCAGAAGATGGCGTGATCAAGTTCACATCTGAGATAGGTCACTTTGTAAGCAGGGGATGGAATATGAGGGGTGAGGCTGGAAGCAGATGGATAGGACAGCTTGGGCAGATACACTGTCACACCTTTTCCACCCTCTGAACGTCTCCAGAAAGCATTCCAATTACTCACATTGTTACAGGGTGCAGCCAAGAGGGGGGAACCCCAAATAGGCATTTGAAATGGGGTCCAAAACTTAAGGTGTCCAGGAGATTTTAAGATGTCTTCACCCCTTTCCCCCTTGCAGCCATTGAGGGGAGAACCATGCAGCTTTAGCAGTGTGAGGACTCCCACAGCCCTGCAAGAGAGAATCACCATGCGGCTTTAGCAGAGAACCGCTACTTGGCTTTGGCAGAGTTGGCAACCGCCCCCACCCCTCCTTGCAGCCATTGCGCAGGGGGAGAAGCACTCGGTTTTGGCTGAGTGGGGACTCCCGTGGCCCTGGGAGAGAGGACCACGTGCCTTTGCCAGAGTGGGGACCCCCACAGCTTTAGAAGGGGGAACCACCACCTGGTTTTAGCAGAGATCCTGGCGACTCAGCTGAGGGTGCTGGGAACCCAGGGAGGTCTCCCAGTCGAGATGGAGTACTAACTGGGAATAACCAGAGGACTGCCTGAGCCATGGACTTCTATTTCCTTTCCTGAGATACAGTACTCTGGACTGGGCAAAGGGGGAAGGAAGGAAGGACTCTGTTTGTGGGTGTTTTAAGGGACTTTAGGATTTTTGATAAAGACATCAGGTCACTACTTTAAGTTTGTATAGCATTAAATAAACATTTCCTTTCCTTTTCACGAATCTCTGGCATTGAGAGACGTCTTTGCGCTGGCGGCAGACATAACAGACCCAGGGGCTTCTTTCAATAATAGTATATCATCCCAGGCCCCCCTTGTTTGTTCTGTAACAACATTAGTGACTCTATTAACAATTTGAACCTTTTAAACTCTTTCTTTTTAGGAGCTCAAAGTAGAACCAAGTTTGTACTAGAACACCCTGCCCCAACTCCACCCTGATCTATACACAGGTCCCCAGCAGGCACCCTCCTTAGGCACTGAGGCAGCAGGGAGGCCTCCTGTGAGCTACACAGCCACCAAGCAAGCATGGGGCTGCTCTCCACAGCCTCGGAAGCTGGGAGGGGCACATTCTACGCCTCACCCGGTGATCCTGTAGGCGTTGGAGTTGATTTCCACTAACCATGGTAACTTTGAGTGTCTGACCTAAGACCTATTGAAATAAACTTCTGCTCTCTCAAGTGCTCAGGCAGAATGGGAGAGGCTGCCAAGGGAGCAGGGGAGGGCGGAGGAGCAGGGGAGAGCTAAGGTTATATGCTGCTCTTGGGCTCTGCTTAGAATTCACCAACACTGTTCTGCGATATCAAATTAGCAGGGTCAACAGTGCCAGGGAAAATAGGTGTATGAGGGGTTTTTTTGTTTGTTTTATTTTGTTTTCCCTAGTACCTGAGAAGTGCCTATGAATGACTTCATGACAAAGGAATTTATCCCTGGAGGTCCCTCTACCAGAATCAGTTCCTGTGCGTGCATGCAGCCGAGTGTTACATATCACCCACAGATCTGGCCTCTATGTCTCTAAGTCACTTAGTACCTGTCTGTTTCTAAGTCTCTGAATGCATGCAAAATGTAAATAGATAGAAGAGCTCTTGCCTCTGTTAGAGTTGTTAAGGTGGCAGAACCACAGGGGATCACTACCTTAGACTGTATGAGGTAGAAAGAAACTAGTCCAATGGTTTGCCAATTTGTTTTATTACCAAATCCCTTCAAACAAAATCCAGCAAAGAAGTCCAATTAACATGTGAACAGAAAGCAGACTTGCCTCCATTCAAGGATGTTTCTGACTGAGCAATGCCTCCTGTTTGTCTTGCCTCTGATAGCCTACCAAGTGAATTGATCTATGAATACCTAGAGGGGCAAAGTCTGAAAGGTATAATTAAATCAATTCTTCCATTTTTTAGGGAACAAAAATGAGTTTGAGGGTTAATAATTAGTTGAGCACAGTGTAAAAGCAATTGGAGGATGCCTAGTAATTAAATTGAAGGTTACAATTCAAAGTGATGGGAGTGAACAGAGTTGGAAACAGATTTTCTTCATGGTTTCTTTGCAGTTAGATCCATGAGTGCAGAACACTCACATTTATTTCTTCCTTCCCATTGTGAAATTGGAATGTGTGGGGGCGAGAAGAAGATTTAACATAGATCCAGAGATAGATTTCAATAGAAATGGGTGCAAATGTTGGAGCTTCAAAGTCTGTGGCTTGGAATCTGTTCAATGTAGCAAGCTGATTATCTGTCTAGAATCAAAGCTAGCTTTTAATTTCAACACTGCCTGGAGGTGGAGACCTTCAACCCTCCAGCCATTAGTCATCATTATCCTTGGCGTTGCCAGACACCCATTAAAGGACTTTACAAGTTAAACACACAGGGGCTTTCCAACCCTGGGACACCAGTTGTGCAAATCAATAGTTTAGGCAGACAACAGCATAGCAACTCCCCGGTGACTCATGGGAGAAACACTGTTCAGTTCCAAACTTTCTTTCCTTTCTGTGCTCAAAATCAAATTCAAGACTTACCTGGTCCAGCTAATATCTACCCACCTGACTCGGTTCATTATTATGCTTAGCAGCTTCTGTTCTTCACTTACCTCCCCGAACCTCTGCTCCTCACCTGTAAAGCACAGGTAAGAAGAAAGATTTCTCAAGTTTTTTTTTTTTTATGAATGAGAGGAAATAAGATATCAAGAGTTTAGCACTGTGCCTGATACATAGCAATTATTTTAAAACTATCAGTTTCTTTTCTGGCATGGATCTCCAATAGACCATGTCAAATTCGTAAGAATTTGAAAGAGGTTAAATTTCTCTTTAGGTGTCTTTTCATTTTTTATTTTTAGAATCCACTCTAATTTCTTGGCTCTGTTATATTTTATTTCTTCCCTCCACCTTCCTTTCTTTTTATTCTGAAATTACTATGATCAACTTTCATTAATGTGGTAATTAACTCAAAAAGAGAGTAAAAGTGGAAAATAAATCAGATACCCATATTCACTACCATAGTTTGCCTTTAGCTGTAAAATTTTAAAAATTGCTTTCCCTAAAAGAAAATTTATCTTTATATAATAAATTTTATAGCACTGGCCAAGTGTAAGTATCTCTGCAGATAAGCATATGGTCGATCCAGCTGAAATCCAGCTGAAATCAATCTGTTATGAAGTGGAAATCCTAGAACTGGAAACTTTGTTTCCTTTTTTGAATTTATAAACAACTTTAATATTCTAATTTTCAACTGCATTTTTAGCTATACTTCTTTGCCTTTTTTTAAAGTGGTATGCTCATGATCATATTACCTATCTTTAAATTATCACAGTATCCCCACTGAGGAGGAAGCTGAGTTACAGAGTAGTTAATGTCCTAATGTTACTAAGTATTGCTCATGAAGGGAGGGATTTTTGTCTGTTTTGTTTATTGCTACATTCCTAATGCCTAGAAAAGTACCTCTTAACTAAATAAAGTGGCAAAGACAGGATTCAAACCCACACTCTCTCTAGTAAAGCCTGCTTTCTTAACCAAGACTTATCATTATTATTATTGCTCATAATGTCACTCATTAATTTCAAATACCATATTCAGGTCCAGGCTATAAGAATAAAGACAATAGCCCTGGCTGGTGTGGCTCAGTGGATTGAGTGCCAGTCTGCAAACCAAGGTGTTGCCAGTTGGATTCCAGTCAGGGCACATGCCTGGGTTGCAGGCCAGGTCCCCAGTAGGGGGCATTCGAAAAGCAACTACACATTGATGTTTCTCTTCCCTCTCTCTCTCCCTTTGCTTCGCTCTAAAAATAAATAAATAAAATTTCTTTAAAGAAGAATAAAGCTAATAAAAGTATAGTAAAATAAACATTAATTTTAAAATTTTATTCATTAATCTATATTTCTTAGAGTAAAAAGGGATGGGGGAACCAAAGACCTGAAGAATGTTTAAAAATACTTCTCTTCCCCACTAGGTTTGTGTAAGATCATATCTCTGACATCGACAGTCAACACTTTAGCTTTTGCAAATGAACTTTATAGATTACAGAAACCCACCTTATAACCCTTCTCCCAACACCCATGCCTAATCCCTGCACAACCTTCTCCCAGCTGAAAGGCAAGCTTTAAGTGTTGGCTGTAAGATCAGCAGCCGTATTTCCAGGCACTGAGTCATATTAAGCTGAAATCAAAACTAAACACATATTCCTCCAAGAAACAGACAGCCAGGCTTTCATAGTCAATATTCAGCATCATGTTCCCGCAGGCCAGGAGCTCTCACAGCACAGGGATGCCGATCAAGAAATGCATTGTCCAGACTAGAGATCATTGTCTAGAAGTTTTTTTTTGTTGTTGCTGTTGGTAGTCGTAGTGCTAGTGGTGGTGGTGGTGAGATGATGATGATGATTAATGATTAGTGTCCTTAAAACCCATGTAGAAAAGTTCATGCAATGGTGTGCTCTCATTTTAACAAAAATGATTAGAGTACAATTTCATATAATAAAGACACTAAAGTCTCTTTTAAGAAATCACACTTGCCCTTTTGTTGGAAAGTGGCCAGGTTGTTTTGGTGGGTGAGAGGAATATTAAAAAGTATTATTTCTATTTTTCATTGAAATATGCATTTAAATTAAGGACCACAGATTTGTCAATTGAGATAATAGAAGTGGCTATTATGGTGGCTTTATTTTTAAAATTTTATTTATTGATTTGAGAGACAGAGAATGGAAAATGTCAATTCGTTGCTCCACTTACCCATGCACTCACTGGTTGACTCCTGTCTGTGCCCCAACCAAGGACTGAACCCGCAGCCTTGGTGTATTGGGGCAATGCTATAACCAACTGCGCTACCCAGCCAGGGCCTATTATAGTGACTTTAGATACAAGTTCTTTTGGCACTTGTGATTATGTCTCCAGGGAAACTATGCAGTCTCAAATACTAATGTATTCCTATTCATTCTGCATTTCATTTCTGATGAAGTATATTTATGTATACAGCCATTATCATATCAATCACAATACCTGCTTATTGCTATTTTCTTGGGCCCACTGAAAGTAGATGCTTTATAATTTCTGTAGGATACACTAAGTTTATACAGTGATCTTTTATTCAATCACAAAAACTGTATTCATTTTAAAAGCTATAATTTTACATACTCTTACCAGAATTGTATGTAATAAAGTTTCAGCCCATAGGAAGCAATTTAGGAAAAAAAGGCATCCGGAGAACTAAAGGACAAATTTCACCTATCTTACATTTTACACAGGATTATTTTCTATTCATCAAATTTTATATTTTATTTGCTATATTTTCATTTTTTCCAATATAAAAGAGGCCATGAGTATAACTAAATGTGTGGAGGTGTTTTGTTTGTCCTCTTGAAAATTGAGGATTTAACAATCCCTTCTGAAACAAAGAGAGTTTACATAAGGGGTCTTTGGCATGAAAACTAAAGCAGGAAGAGAGCCACGGCCATTTTTAAGAGATACAGTCAGTAAAAGGTGTCCATGTCTCAAACCCCAGGCCACTGACATACTAGGTAATATGAAAAGGGGGAGTTAAGGTAAAGATGGAATCAAGGTTAACAATCTGCTGAATTTAGGATAGGGAGATTATCGTGAATTATCAGGATGAACTGCAAGTAATTATATGAGGTACTAAGTGTGGAGGGTGGCCTGGGGGCTCCGATGAGCCAAGCGGCGCAGCGGCCGTAGAGAGGCAGCAGATGGGTCTCCTCTCCTCCCCTACGAGAGGGTTCCCCAGTGGTACCATTTGTGTCCCATGTCTTACCAAACTTTTAGTCAAATAACTTTTTAGGATACTTAAAAGCCTTATTACTTAAGCCATATTACTAAATGGCTTATTACTAAAAGCCATACTTAAACCCTTATTACTCAAAATTTGGTCCGTGGACCAGAAACATTTGGCAGAATTGTTAGAAATTTGAACCCTCAGGACTATATATCTTAGAATCTATATCTTAACAAGAGCTGCCAGTGATTTATATACAAATTACAGTTTGGGAAACACTTACTTAAAGCACCTTCAGGGACTAAAAGCATGAATTCAATTAGGGACAATGGCAGGGTTGGGTCAAGAAACAAAAGTGACTAATAATAGGACTTTTTGTAATTATCTCTTCCTTTTGATGACTTTAATTTGTGACTGGGCCAAAGTTAGAATGTGTGGCCCCTTCTCTCAGGAAGAGCTGGGCCTCGGGAAACCTCCTCACTCCTCACCGCCTCCAAGGGATGCACTTTGGAGACCTGCCACTTCTATTTCAGTTCAGCCAGACATGGCTTAGGCTCAATGTAAGGACTCACAGGCTATGGGCAATCACACTGCTGTACACGTAAACTATATTTTTATGTAACAGATGTTGAGTCCACACCTATTATGTATGAGCTGTGGGACTACCTTCTCAGAGAAGGTGCATGTTGAGGCCACTGAGAACTTCTGGAAGGCCAACTGAGGAAGGAGCCCGAAGGTCCCCACGTGGAGCAGTCTCACCGCAGCGTGGAGAAACCGTTCTTAGGTCTTCCCTGCAGCCTGGGTGTGGCATTCTCCACGTGGAACTCCCTTCTTCCATTTCTGTTCATCTACATTCTCTCCCTCCTCCCAAGGTCAATTCCAAATGCCAATTTATCAATAAAATCTGCCCTAATCCCCTCAGCTAAATATGCTTTGACACTTCAGAACTCCCATCATATCCTGTGTTAAGATCAATTATGTGTGTTGCAGCTTTATGGGGTGGGAGATATGTCCCTATGGGCAAAGAATGTATTTTAGTCTTAGATTCTCCGGAGGACCTGGCGTGGTGTGCCATAAATAGTTTTTGAAGAAAGGAATAAATTAAAGCCAATGCATCTACTCTGTTACTGCCTCTCTATTCAGAAAGTGGATCAGTCTTCTCAAATGACAGAGAAAACATGAGAGAGTACTCCACACTGGCTGGGATATTTAGGAGAATTAACTTTTTTTTCTTCACCTTTTTCCCTGGTCAGATTGGTTCATTCACACAGCAACAATGTCCTCATTAGTGGGTCAGTAGTTGTTAATCTCAGCTGTATGGAATTTCATCTAGTTTTCAGCTGTATGAAAGTGGGCTGGCTGCCTACTAGTATTTAAGAAGTCCTATAGGTTGCTGGGTAGCACTGTTTATGCCTGGTTTTCTCTAGAGCTGAGATGGCATCCCAGGCCCGCATCTCTGAAGCATCTCAGGTTGCTATTAATCATGTGGCATCTTATGAGCTGCACATCAGTGATGCTTATTTATCTATGGTTAGTATGGGTTCTTCAGCCACTGTGAAGGAGGTTTCAGCTCTGATCTGGGTGATGACATATATATCTTGTACATCCTTAGTAGTGGTGGTTTTGGCCACGTTTGTGTTATGATGCTAGATGTAACAGCAGCTTGGTGGCTAGGATTTTGCTGCTTTGTGGCCTAATGATTTAGAGCTATGATTGTAAAGTATGGGCTAAGATAGGAAGAATTACAGTTCTTTCCAGTGGGTTCCCAAAACTATATGGGCATCAGACACTGATGGTAGAGTGAAAAAATAATTTTTCACACGCATTCTCTTTTAGAGTTAATATACATATGTTAGAATTGGTACGATAGATTGGCTTTAAAAGGTCAATTTATGCTGGACTTCTGCTGTGTCTACACAACTACTGGATATAAGTGCTAGCATATGGGCTTCACAACTCCGAGCCAAAGATTAGGCCTCAGCATTTTAAAATCTGGGTGGCTTCTCTTTGAGGTGTCCTGGGTGTGAAAGACAGCTGGGGCCTTCTGGAAGTCAAAGGACAAACCAAGGACCCCAGGCTGAACAAAGGCCTCTCTCGGGCAAGCACAGAGACAATAAAGTGAGTTTGTAAATGATTTCTAGTCTTAAAAGTCAGCGTGTCTCACCTCCAATTTCTCCCCATTCTCACCCCTGTCCCAGGCCTGCTATTACAATGAAGACACGGGAGCACCTCTCTTTGCCGCATTCTTCGAAGACCAAGCTGAGGTGAAGAGGGAACATGGGAAGCAATTCCTAAGATATCTAAGAAGACGTGAGTGTAAAATCTGCCTTCCGGTGATTAAGGTGACTATGTAATTTGTCATAACGATTTCCATGGGGCCTTTGCCAGGTCCAGAGAAGTAAGTCATTAGTTGCTATAGAACTTGTTGGGTCACTCATAGTATACATGGGATTATACTAACTGACTCTGAGGGCAAGCGTATGTTTTCTCTGTAGCCTCTTCATATCATTTTGAGTAACTTGTAGCCGTTAGATGCTCATTTAGCTTTTCTCAATGAGCTACATATAGTGTGGTCCCTGGACCAGCAGCATCAGCATCACCTAGGAACTCATTAGAAACGCAAATTCACAGTCAAACCGGATCAGATTCTGTAGGTGTGGGGTCCTAGGAGCTGTAATTTAACAAGCTCCCCAGGTGATTCTGATGCTCTGCATAGCTTGAGAAGCACAACTGTAATGGCCTCTTCCTAAAACAATTAACATCCTATATCAGATCTTTAGTCTAATTTGGGTGCATGTTCAGGTATTTAAAATGGCTATCTCTTCAGTGAAGTGAAACAAACTTTTGTTCGTTGGGACAGACACTTAGAAGAACTAATTTAAACCTTAGTTGGGGGTATTACATCTAGAATTACCCCCACTTATCTGAGGGATTCTTTGAACTTTAGCTTTATAGAGAGAACTAGTAAATGTCTGGTAGTAACTGAAGTAAAGCACCCTCATGGAATTCCAAAGCTAATGGAGTCGTGCACGTAACTGTGCTGGTGGCACCCATGACTTGTAAACACTTTCAAGTTACATGGGGAGCTTTTAAAAATCCTGATGCCAAGGTTGTACTGCATATCACTTAAGTTCTAATGTCTGCAAGGGAAATGCAGACATCAGTATTGAAGATGCTTGGATGATTCCATTTGCCACAAAGTTTACAAACAATTGGGCCATAGAAACCTAGTCATAAGCCCACCCAGGGTGTAGGATGTAATAAGGCTGTGCCTGAGGTGACTTCCCTGTTTCTCTTCAACAGAGGCCTGATATAGATAACTGGGCAACTGGCGTAAAGGCTCTAGAGTCTGCTCTGGAGATGGAGAAAGAGTTAACCAAGCTTCTGCAAGACCTGAAGAATAATGCTTATGAGAAGAGTGAGAAGGAAGTAAGTTGTTAAATGGTTCTGAGCGCAGTGTCATCTTTCACTTCTGGATTAGGATTTGCTTCTGGGAAGTGGGTCTAAGGCAGTGGACCATCCAACATGTGCTTGTTTTCCCCCAAGGAAGCATATGAATTTACTGCTGGGAGTAGATTAGAGGTGGGAGGAGTAGATGCCCCGGTTAAAAGGAATGCAACTCAACGCAAGATGGGGGAGATGTCCCAGGAAAAATGCACTCTGGATAATTAAACAACTTAACAAAATAACTCTCGTTGCTAGCTTTTAAATCTCCTAGACAAGAAGTGCTTACATTTTAATGGTATCAGAATCACCTGGAGGGCTTACTAAAACAAACCAGGCCTCACCTCCAGTTTCTAATTCAACTAGTTTCATGAGGCATGCAAGAACTTTCATCTCTAACAAGTTTCCAGGTTATGATGCTGCTGGCCAAGGGCCACCCTTTGAGAACCACTGTCCTAGACGGCCCCTGCAAAAGTGAATGTTAATGGTGACTTACTATTCTATAGACCTCTCTGAAGTTTCCCAGGTTAACAGAGAACATTCCACCTTGCAATTATAACATCTTTCTCAGTAACCCCTTAGCATCTTTGTACAAGTTATGATGCATATTGGACTTCTTTAGGAGCTGCGAAGAGGTACAAATGCCTGAGCCTTATGCCAGGCTACTTAAAACTTAATCTCTGGGAATTGAGTCGGGACCCCTACTTGAAAGCTCAATGTGATTAAAACAAACAAACAAACAAAAACAGGGTGGAAAACCACTTCAGTAGCAGCCTGTTTAAATTAATCTGTGCTTTTGATGAATTGCCCTTACACTCATATTCACTGAAAAAAGATATTTGTATTTACCTGGAGGTTGTGAATGTCTTAGATCAGTGCTCTTTGAATGCCTAGGTGCATATGAACTACCTAGTCCCTTCTTAAAATGCAGGTTCTGATTTAGAAGGTCTGAAATGGAACTTGAGATTCTGTTCTTCTGACCAGCTCCCAGGACTGTTGGTCCATGAGCTATAATTTGGGTAGCAAGATTTTATTTTATTTTAATTTTTTATCCTCACCTGAGGACATGCTTATTGATTTTAGAGAGAGGGGAAGGGATGGAGAGAGAAACATTGATTGATTGCCTCTAACACCCACCCTGACGAGGGACTGAACCTGCAGTTTAGGCATGCCACAACCTTTCGGCATCTGGGACAATGCTCCTACCTCCAACCCACTGAGCCACACCAGCCAGGGAAAAGGTAGCAAGATTTTAGATGGCCTCCTGTTGCAGACAATGTCCTTAAGAGTCCTTCCCTATTTTATTTGTGTAGCTTGTACGCTTCCTGGGAAAGTACCTGGATAAACAGAAGAGGAACACAAGCTATCTGGAACACCAGATTGTATATCATAAGCATGAAGAAAAGAAGGCCCAGCAGAAAGAAGACCCATTTAAAAAGCCAGCTGAAGTGTCAGGTAAAGACTAACATCTGAAGGCAACAAAGCAAGTCTTCCCACTGCAGTAGATCCCCAAATCAGCTACTTAAGAATCTTAATCTTCTCCATTGGGCAGAAGACTGCTTTTCTTCATTGTTGTGTATACAAATAAATCTGTTTTTGCATTATAACTGTGTGTAAAGAGATTACTATTGGAGCACACATAAAAAACAGTTAATTCTATCAATGTGGGTTTGGAGAAAGGTTCTTGAGGACAGTGGGTGCATTAGACTTAAAAAAAAAAAAACAGAGCCCCTGCCACCCTCTTGATCCCAACAACACTCAGATGTAGAGTCAGGATTTGGGAATTTCAACCAGTCCAGGGTAGATACAGAGGAAATTAACTAGTGAAACCTTAGTTCTCACTAATGCTTTCTGCCCCCTCAACTTATGTACTACATATATTAAGTTTACAAAATAGTGGGATTTTCTTCTAATTAGTGTAAAGCTAAACTTGAAAACAAGGTATCTTAGTGTAGAATTGGTGACTCACCTGGAAGATTAACAGTGGACAAGTAGCTGCAACCCAAGTGCCCTTTCATAGCCCAAGGGATGCATAGGGAATAGCAGGGTACACAGGCACCTAAGACAGTGAACACATGTGTGGATGTACCTGTCCCCTCCACTGTGGGCAAACTAGCAGCTACTCAGGTAATTGCTTTCGGGGGTAAGAAATGAGCACACAAGCATGGGGGCTAGTACCACCTGGGAAGAAAGGGGCTCTGTAGGATTGTGTCCTGGCTCCAAAACTTCCTAGTTCCATGGCCTTCACAAAGTTTTTACCTCACTTATTGACTCAATTTAGTCATCCTTAAAGTGTGGTTAATAGTACTTAGTTCATAATGATAACAAAAGGATTAAGTAAATAAATATGTAAAGTATCTAGAACAGCACCTGTTCAGATTACATATTATAGTTTATATGATAGTGCCACTTCTTAAATTTGAGAAAAGCCAATACATGGAATTTGCATTAAGACAATAGATAACTGAAATTGAGACAGAATCTTAAAACATTTAATCTTTTTTAAAAATTATCTTTATATTATTTCCATTATCATTTAGACCCCTTAAACCCCCTTACCCCCAACAATCACCACACTGTTGTCCATGTCCATGAGTCCTTTTTCTTTTTTGTTCAGTTCCTCAACCCTTTAACCTCCTTCCTGCCACTAGCTGCCATCTGCCCTATCTATGAGTCTGTCTCTGTTTTGCTTGTTAGTTCAATTTGTTCATTAGATGCCACATATGAGTGAAATCATATGGTATTTGTTCTTCTCTGACTGGCTCATTTCACTTAGCACAATGTTCTCCAGATCCAACTATACTGTGGCAAAGGGTAAAATTTCCTTTTTTACAGCCAAGTGGAATTCCATTGTGTAAATGTCCCATAGTTGTTTTATCCACTCATCTATTGATGGACACTTGGGCTGCTTCCATATCTTGGTAATTCTAAATGCTGCAATGAACATAGGGGTGCTTATGTTCTTTTGAATTAGTGTTTTGGGTTCCTTCAGGTATATTCCCAGAAGTGGGATTGCTGGGTCAAAAGGCAGAACTTTTAATTTTTTGAGGTATCGCCATGCTACTTTCCACAGTGGCTGCACCACTCTGCATTCCCACCAACAGTGCAAAAGGATTCCCCTTTCTCTACATCCTCGTCAGCACTTGTTGTTTGTGGATTCATTGATGATAGCTATTCTGACAGGTGTGAGACGGCATCTCATTGTGGTTTTAATTTGCATTTCTCTGATGAATATGGACATGGAATATGTTTTCATATGTCTCTTGACCATCTGTATGTCCTCTTTGGAGAAGTGTCTATCTAGGCCCATTGCCCATTTTTAAATTGGGTTTTTTTTTTTGTGAGTTTTTAAGCACTTCATAAGTTTTGGATATTAACCCTTTATCAGAGGCAAATACATTCTCCCATTCTGTGGGTTGCCTTTTTATTTCGTTGATGATTGCCTTTGCTGTGCAAAAACTTTTTTGTGTAAAGTCCCATATGTTTATTTTTTCTTTTGCTTCCCTTGCCTGGGAAGATATATCTGATATAAAATTTATACAAGCAATGTCTGAGATTTTTCTGCCTATGTTTTCTTCTATGATTTTAATGCTTTTTCTGGGCTAACATTTAAGTCTTTGATACATTTTGAGTTTATTTGTGTGTATGGTGTAAGAAAGTGCTCTAGTTTCACTTTTCTGCACATATCTGTCTAATTTTCCTAACACTATTTATTGAATAAACTATCTTTAGCCCATTGTATGTGCTTGCTTCCTCTGTTGAACATTAATTGACTATAAATGTGTGGGTTTATTTCTGGGCTCTATATTCTGTTCCACTGATCTGTGTGTTGGTTTTTATGCCAGTACCATTTTGTTTTGATTACTATGGCCTTGTAGTATAGTTTGATATTAGGCAGCATGATTCCTTCAACTTTATTCTTCTTTCTCAGGATTGCTATTGCTATGTGAGGCCTTTTGTGGTTCCATATAAATTTTTGAAATATTTATTCTATTGTGAAATGTATCATTGGACTCTTGATAGGAATTACATTAAATTTATAGATTGCTTTGGATAGTATGGACATTTTTTATATTAATTCCTCCTATCTATGAACATGGTATGTGCTTACACTTATTTGTATCTTCAATTTCTTTCTTCAGTGTCTAATTTTCAAGTATAGATCTTTTATATCCTTGGTTAGGTTTATTCCTAGGTATTTTACTCTTTTTGTAGCAATTGTGATTGGGATTGTTCTCTTAATTTTCCTTTCTGTAGTTTGTTATTGGCATATGAAAATGCAACTGATTTCTGAATATTAATTTTGTATCCTGGTACCCGCTGAACTCATTTATCAGTTCTAGTAGTTTCTTGGTGGAATCTTTGTGTTCGGTATGTACATTTTCATGTAACTGCAAATACAGTTATACTTCTCCCTTTCCAATTTGGATGCCTTTTATTTCTTCTTGTCTAATTGCTGAGGTTAGGACTTCCAGTACTATGTTGAATAAGAGAGGTATAAGTGTACATCCCTGTCCGGTTCCCAATCTTAAAGGGAGGGCTTATAGTTTTTGCCTGTTGAGTGTTATGCTGACAGTGGGTTTGTCATATATGGCCTTTATTATGTTTATGTATGATCCCTCTATTCCTACTTTGCTGAGAATTTTTTATCATAAATTGGTGCTGGATTTTGTCAAAAGCTTTTCTGCATCTATTCATATAATCATGTCATATATATCCTTTATTTAGTTTATGTGGTGAATTACATTTATGGATTTGTGAATGTTGTACCGACCTTGCATTCCCAGAAGAAATCCCACTTGTTCATGGTGTAGGAACTTTTTGATGCATTGCTGTATTCAGTTTGCTAATATTTTGTTGATGATTTTAGCATCTATGTTCATCAAGGATGTTAGCCTATAGTTTTCTTTCTTTGTAGTGTCTTTATCTGGTTTTGGAATTAGAATAATGCTGGCCTCATAAAATGAGTTTGGGAGCCTTCCCTCCTCTTGAATTTTATGAAATAGTTTGAGAAGTAGAGGTGTTTTTTCTCAGAATGTTTGATAAATTCATCTGTGAAGCCATCTGGTCCAGGGCTTTTATTTGTTGGGAGTTTTTTGATTACTGCTTCAATATCACGAGGTATAATCTGTCTATTCAGATTCTCTGATTCTTCTGGGTTAGTCTTGGAAGACTGTATATTTCTAGGAATTTATCCATTTTGTTCATATTGTCCAGATTGTCCAGTTTGTTGGCATATAATTGTTCATAATATTTTTTTACAATCCTTTGTATTTCTTTGGTGTCAGTTGTTATTTCTCCTTTCATTTCTGATTTTATTTATTTGGGTCCTCTCTCTTTTTCTTTGAGCCTAGCTAAAGGTTTGTCAATCTTGTTTATCTTTTCAAAGTACCAGCTCTTGGATTCATTGATCTTTTGTATCATTATTTTTAAACTCAATTAAAATCAGAGCAGAAATGAATGAAATCATTTCCTTCCTTCTACTAACTTTGGGCTTTGTTGTCCCTTTTCAAGTTTTTTTAAGTGCAAAATTAGATTGTTTGTTTGAGCGTTTTCTTGTTTTTTGATAGACCTAAAATTATATGAATTTTCTTTCTAGGACTGCTTTCCCAGTATCCCACAGATTTTGGATTGTTTTGCCCTCATTTTCATTTGTTTCAAGGTATCTTTTGATTTCTTCCTTGACCTCATTGACTTATTCATTGTTTAATAACATACTATTTAGCATCCATGTCTTTGCATGTTTTTCAGTGTTCTACTGATTTCTAGTTTCATAGCATTGTGATCAGAGAAGATGCTTAATATGATTTCAATCTTCTTAAATTTATTGAGACTTGTTTTGTGTCCTAGCATGTGGTTTACCCTAGGAAACATTCCATGTGCACTTGAAAAGTATGTATATTCTGATGTGTTGAGGTGAAATTTGATGAAGATATCAATTAATCTATTTAATCTAGTGTGTCATTCAGGCAACTTTCTCCTTGTTGATTTTCTGTCTGGAAGATCTATCCATTCAAGTCAATGGGGTGTTAAAATCCTCAACTATGAGTGTACTTCTGTCATTCTCTCCTTTCATGTCCTCAAGATTTGCTTTACATATGTAGTTGCTCCTATGTTGGGTGCATAAATGTTTACTAGGGTTACATCCTCTTGTTGGATTCTTTCTTTTATCATTATGTAGTGTCCTTCTTTGTCTCTTACAGCCTTTGTTTTAAGGTCTATGTTGTTGGATATAAGCACTGCTACTTCAGGGGTTCCCCCCCCCATTTGTATGTAATATCTTTTTCTGACCCTCTACTTTTTGTCTGTGTGTATATTTCAATCTGTGATGGGTCTCTTGGAGGTAGCATATATATGTATGGGTCTTTTTTTCTTATCCATTCAGCTACCCTCTGTCTGTTGGTCAGGGCCTTTAACCCATTTACATTTAAGGTGATTATTGATAGGTATATATGTAGTGCCATTTTAATGTTAAACTCTTTTCCTTGTTGTTTTTTTTCTTTCTCTTTTTCTTCTTAAAGCAAGCCCTTTAACATTTGTTGCAGTACCGATTTGGTGTTCATAAACTCCTTTAGTTTTTTCTTGTCCAGGAAGCTCCTTAATTCTC